TGTACTTTAACTTAGAAAGTAAAAGCACATGGTAAATTTTGTCGAATGCTTTGGAGTAGTCAATTGAAACTAGGGAAACCGCCATTTTTTTTGTCCATAGCTCTTATAACATTGTCGCACAGATTTACTAATGCAGAGGTTGTGCTGTGATATTTCCTAAATCCAGATTGATTTAAAGGAATGAAGCCATTATCTTCAATAAAAGACTCTACTTGTAACTGAACTGCTTTTTCCAGTATTTTTGACAACACAGGCAACAAACTTATGGGTCTTAGATGAGTAACATCAGTAGGTTTATTGTTTTTTGGCATTGGTAAGATCATTCTTCCAGGCTTTGGGAAACAAGCCTCTTTCAATGCAAGTGTTAACTATGTGTAAAATATGATAAAATATTATTGGTAAACTAACTTTGATCATTGTAATTGATATACGAGCCGCTTGCCACTTCAGTTGGCCCACTTCAAGATTTGTACGAAAATATGCCATTATAAACTAAACATGACGAAACTATTTACTTCTAAAACAATTTATTTTCTCAAAAACATTTTAGATACACTCTAGTCGTAAAAAATACATATTTGAAATCACTTAGACCTATAACTAATAGAACATCTCAAATAAACAATGTGCGAATAAATGCGCGAAGTTAACAAAGCAACAATTGAAAGAGTACCATTGGGTAACATCACCTTTATATTTTATTACGGCTGAAATTCTTTGTGGCAAAGTGTTAACCAAGTTTTGGCAAAAATTTGGTGTAAAACAATCCCATATTTCTTGAAGCTTTTGTCTCAGTTCGGTGATTGTACGAGCAGGATGTTGTCGTAAAACCTTTTTAATCTCGTGCCACAAAGTTTCAATAGGTGACAGATCTGGACTGATAGAAACCCATTTCAAAAGTGGTACATTATTTTTTTCCATCCATTTTATAACCTTTTTTGAGGTATGGCACGCTGCACCATCTTGCTGAAACACAAAATCTTGGCCGAATGTAAAACATTCTTCCATCACTCTACTGCGACTGCCACCAACACAAACTTCGAATCGGGCCTCTTCACTCCATTGTATTGCACACCATTGTTGAGGTGTCCATTGTCTATGTTCTTTAGCCCATCTAAGCCGATTTTTCTTTTGCAGTGGAGTTAATAGTGGCTTCTCTTTGGCCTATAAACAAGTTGTGCAACTTTAGGGTTTTTACTTCACTTTTTTTTTATAAGAAAACTTACCTTGCAAGTGCTAAATCCCAGTTTGTGAGTCTCTTTATGAGTTGTGGACCTCGAAATTCTCCTTCCAACAGCGTCACTCCACAGAGCACTTAATTGTAAATAATTGGCACGCCTGTTTTTCACGATTATTCTTCTTAATGCATTTGTGATATTACTTTTTTCACATATCATATTAACTGATCCAGTTACGTTATATCTTCTAACAATATTTCTCACACTGTACCGCGATAAGTCTAACAAAGTTGCAAATTCTGAGTTTGATTTCCCAGAATTAAAAAAATTGATTATCAGTAACCGAATTTTCTCACTACTAACCTTTCCTCTACCCATTTTGAAAACGTTAACTACCCAAAACTATTTTAAACGTATTCTGACAGCTGTGATTAATAAAAACAATTGTCATGGCTTTTATTTTTCACAGCCACCTATGCGTTACAGACTTATTTTGCATTGAAATGAAAATAGGTTGATATGCTGTAATTGCAACATGTGTTATTTTTATGCTTTGATTAGGGAGTGATAAAGTTGGTGTTTTCTAGTATATATTATCAAAATATTCATTGTTAATATTTTAAACCTATATCACCCTGCTACATTTTTATTATTTGTGTTTAATAAGAAAAAAGCTAAGATTTCAATAGTTGGGCCAACTGAAGTGGGAAGGGGCTCGTATATTCTAAAGCTATACGCTAAAGCTGTTTTCCTAACAACATATGTGAGTTTGTTGGTAGCACAATTCTTCTTTTGGGTTCTGCGATGTTTTTTCAGTCTTGATGATTCAACCCTTATGCGCATAGAATCACCCTGTAGCCGTTTGATTTTTCGCTATTTATCAGTCATATTTGATAACAAGTAACATAAAATAGCCCTGGGGGCTGAAAATCCCAGTTTTCCGGCACATAGGCGATTGGCATTCACTACTGCACGGATCGACTGTAATTTCTTTTTTTTTTTTTCGAATCGGAATCTGCAGCTAACTTCAGTAACGTGGATATGGTTTTGGTTTCAGCAATCCAAAATCTCATTCAAATAAAATCATTTCCACTAGGTCTTTGTCACTAACTATATTAGGTTTATAGATTTTCAGTAGAAATCCTCACTGTTACAGAAAACATACCAATAACCATAATCTACCTGGTCTATAGAGCATGTCAATAACCAGGTGCTTTCACCATAATTTTGAATATCTCCGATATAAACAACATTGCACATTTTCACTTCGTTGCTTCACATGGTTCCAGGTGTGGCACTATTGTGACCTGAACGGTGGCCAGTCCTCATTCCTCTGCCCCAACGGGACCATCTTCAGCCAGGTCGCTCTTACGTGTGATTGGTGGTACAACGTCAAATGTTCAGCAACGCCTCAACTGTATGTTCTCAACGAGAGGCTCTACAAGTATATCATACCCCTGGCTCCAAAGTTTCCTGAGGATTACTCTGGACCTCTGGTAGACAAGTAAGTATATTATTCTCGGATAATCGGTTATAACTTTCAAAATTTATCCAGGTGCAAGAGTCCTGATGGGTTAAAGCGAGACTTGACAGACTTATTTTTGCAGATACCTGGCTCTCAAGTTTCAAGAAATGGAAGAGAAGATGAAGAAAGAGAAAGAAGAAAAGGCAAAGAAAAAGAAAGAAAAGGAAGGAGAAGATAAAGAGAAGAAGGAGAAGTCTGAAGAAGAAAAGGATTCGGTGCCGGATTCTTCTCCAGCAGCGCCATTTAGGGAAACGCTGCAGACAATAGAAGATGATAATAATAAATGAAAAATGTTTTAACGAGGAATTTATTTTCTGGTTTGTATAACTTTTAAGATCTGAAGGAATGATGTCAAAGTGATATGTTGATCTGTATTATATAGGAATGTAAACGTGTAATCATAAGATGAAATCACACTGATACCAGCAAAAATATTATTTTTGACGCTGCTGCTGAGCCTAACAAAGCTCTATTTACAATACTTTCCAGTACCTATGAATATGATAATTTAGAAATCAATGCAAAATTACGATAGCATCAGGCATAATTGGTATACGATAATCCATACTTGCTGGGACAATTTGGAGCATAATATTTAATTAAGCTCAGTACTTAAGTGCTCAATAATTTAATTTTTATTAATGATTATTAATAGTAAGGTTAGATGTTTGGCAAAGGTTGTACCATGTCTAGTACAAATAAAATAATCTTTCTATCAGCGTAACAATTATACGCTGCTTATTTGCTGTTAATAGATTGAATGTAGGAGGGTAGCTCTGGAACTTTATTTTTTATTTTCGTGAGGCATTGTAAAACCTCTGAGCGGGTAGTATTTTTAGTGCATCATTTAGCTGGAATAGAGTAGTTGGTAACAGTATGGGCCAGCTATATTGCTACATGAAATATTTATACATTTTGTAATTTTTTTTTTTTTGAAAATTCCGAAAATTTTGGAATTTTTCTAAATTTTGAAGAATGAACATTTAGAAAACTAACTAGAAAATTCAGAAAATTTAGAAAACTGCAAAATTTTAAAATTTCCGAAATGTCAAAAATTATGAATATTTGAAAAATTTACCAAATTTTCAAAATTCACAAAATCCTGAAATCTTAGAAATTTCAATTATTTTCAAAATTTTCAGGATTTTCGAAATTTTGAATATATTAAATAATTTTGAAAATTCTGTTAAAATCATGAAATTAAATTTTATAAATTTTGAAATTTAAAATATCCGAAAGTTTTTAAATTTTTTTAAAATTTTGGACACCTAAAATGATAAAAATTTAGAAAACTTTAAAATTTTTGAAACTAGAAAATTTTGAAGACTGAAAATTTAGAAAACTAACTATAAAATTCAGAAAATTTAGAAAACTGCAAAATTTAAAAATTTTGGAAATGTCAAAAATTATGAAAATTTAAAAAAATTTCCAATATTCTCATTATTTTCAAAATTTACCGAATTTTCAAAATTTACAAAATCCTGAAATCTTAAAAATTTCAATTATTCTCAAAATTTTCATGATTTTCGAAATTTTGAATGTATTCAAAAATTTTGAAAATTTTGATAAAATCTTGAAATTAAATTTTATAAATTTTTAAATTTAAAATATCCGAACATTTTTAAATTTTCTAAAATTTTGGAGACTGAAAATGATAAAAATTTTGAAAACTTCAAAACTTTTGAAACTAGAAAATTTAGAAAACTGCAAAATTTAAAAATTTTGGAAATGTCAAAAATTATGAAAATTTTCAAAAATCACAAAATTCTGAAAGCTTCAAAATTTCAAGTATTTTCAAAATTTTCAGGACTTTCGAAATTTTGAAAATATATGACAATTTTGAAAATTTTGATAAAATCATGAAATTAAATTTTATAAATTTTGAAATTTAAAATATCCGAAAATTTTGGAATTTTTTAAAATTTCGGAGACTGAAAATGATAGAAATTTAGAAAACTCAAGAAATTTTGAAACTATAAAATTTAAAAAACGGTGCAAAGTTTTGAAAACATCGAAAGTTTAAATATTTAGAAAATTTAAATAAATCCTCAACTTTCCGACCATTCCGAGAATTTCGAAATTTTCAAATTTTCGAGGTTTTCAAAATTTCGCACAGATTTCTAAATCTTCTGAATTCTTGAAATGTACAAAATTTTCAACATTTTAAAAATTTCCATAATGTTCAAGGTTCCAAAATTTCCGAAAATTTTAAAATTTTCAGTTTCAAAATTTTCGGAGACTCGGAAATTTTCAAAATTTTCAAATTTTCCAAACTTTTCAAAATATCCAGTTTCCAAATTTTTCATAGTATTAAGAATTTTCATCATTCTTAAAATTTCCATAATTTTCAAAAATTTAAAAATTCTCAGGGCTGCAGTTTCCATAGTTAAATAATGCAACAAAAACATTTACCTTTAGATTGAATTGAAATAAGGATGCAGATAACGCTATATACCTCCTAAGAGTTTGCCAGATTAACTAGAGGTTTAAGAATTTGCGCCATAGACGTAGAGATTATTTATGATTGTTATATTCTTTATTTCTGATGGTATTCACCACAGGCGTAGTCAAACAGTCTCGCTGAGAGGGGTTTCTTATCTATTATTTAAGCCTTGTGACTGGGAGTTTTTAGGAAAATACTCGTATTCTGAATTTCTGGTGGTGAACCTTCACACCCCAAAGGTTACGCCTCTGGTAATTGTTGTTGTATAATGTATGTTTTATAGTATTTAATGATCTAGTCATTATTTTGTTGAATGTTAAAATATTTACCTTAGGTTCAGTTCTTTGCTGTAATCCTTTAGCATTATTAGTCTTAGTTGTATTATTTCTAATAGTTTGATTTTACCTTGGAACGTAATTCAAATGTATACTATTGTAAATACTTTTCGCAGTGAATTTCCCGCAAAAGGGTGTTTGAAATCCCTATGCTTTATACTCTAAGCTCTATATACCTATACTATTTACTACAGATATTAAAAAAACTGTAGCTGCTCTCATATACGCATTAAAATACTATTAAGACATTTTATTGATGTTTGAAATCTCTAAGTACGTATTTGTTGAATTTATAAAAATTTAAGTATCTATGTATTTACTGTATACTTTCGAAATCGATAAACCATTATTTTGACCTTACACGATTTTTATTCGCATTTAATACTGTATAACCCGGTCTTCTTTATAATAATGACTCGTATTTGAAATGTTGACAAGAATGGGTGACCTCAGGTGGCAATTTTTTTTAACCCAAACTCAACCTCACGACACTTTAAATTTTTTCGCGATTATATTCGAACATCTATTTCGTGCGCATATAGCCATCAATAACCGAAAAGGATTTTAACATCTCAAGATCGCACTTTTCACTAGATCATAACCTATACATATACTTTATCTGAAGTCACTTGAAACACTGTGAAATACCGGGTGCGTTTTATATATCTATATTTAAGACGCTCTGTTGCTGCAAAAATCGCCAAATTTCGCAGCAAATATCCCCCCCCCCCCCGTATAAGATCAAAGGCAGTTTCACCGGTCCACGTGGAGTAAAGCACGCCTATGTGTGGACATAGCCAATGAGAAAGCGTGTATTTCAGAGCTCCGAACAAGTGCAGGTGGCTACTGAAAATTGAAACAGTTTAGCCAGTGCCGTATAGCGGTGAATAAACGTGTTTTCTTTAGTCTGTCCGTGTTTTTTCATAGATTTTATTAGTTTGTGTGTTTTGAATACTCAGTTTACTTGTTGATTTAATTGTTGTGTTGATTGTTCTTGTGTGTCCTAAATATGGCTCATTGGAGACCTTGGGAAAATGCTCCAAGCCACGAGGAGATGGTTGATGAACCTGTGCAGGCAGAATTCCTTGATAAAGATTTAGAGGAACAGACCCAAAGAGTAATCCTAAATATGTATGATTGTCTGAAAAACGAAAATCCAGATTCCTCGCAAAACCAAATTTTAAACAGAATTTGTATCCTGACAAAAATCAGTCGGTCTACCATTTATCGGGTTATAAAAAGGGGAGATGTAGTCAACCATTCCTTGCACAGAAAGCGCATAGGGCAAAAATTAAAAAGAATAGACGTGGGTTTTCAGGAAGATATTCGTCGTATAATATACGGATTTTATAAAGGAAATTTGGTGCACACGTTGGAAATGATACGGGATAAATTAAAAGATTATCCTGAAGATTTTTATAATTACAAATGCTTAGACTCACTGCACTGTATTGTAAAACTGTGTGGTTTTCAATACAAAAAATTAGATAAAAGAATGGTGATTATGGAGTCGTCTCGAATCGTTGAATTGCGCCAAGAATTTTTGCACAAAGTTAAAATCTATAGTCAGCAGAAAAGAAATCTGATTTACCTGGATGAAACGTGGTATGATACCCATGATGTTGTGCAGTACGGCTGGGTTGACGACAGCAACAAGTGCATTTTAAATGCACCATGCAACCGTGGAAAACGAATCATTATTCTCCATGCTGGCACTGAAAATGGATTTATACCTAATGCCTTGCTGTTATCTGCCAAAAATATCAAAGGATCATATGCCGACTATCATGAGGACATGACCTCCGACTTATTTGAAAAGTGGATAGAGCAGCAGTTAATACCAAACATTTCCCCAAATTCAGTGATTATTATGGACAATGCGCCATACCATTCCCGACAGAAAAACAAAATTCCGAATACAGGCACAAAAAAACAAGACATTATTGATTTTATGAAGGATAAGGGAATGGAAATACCACAAAAATCAACCAAAGCCATATTATTGGATCTTATTAAAAGACAGAAATTTTAAAAAGAGTATGTTGTTGACAATCTGCTTCAGCAAAATGGCCATGAAGTATTACGTCTACCTCCCTATTACTGCATTTTTAACCCGATTGAGTTGCTCTGGGCTGCTTTAAAAAAAAGTAAGAAAACATAATCAGACCCCTCAATTAAGTGAATCGCTATTGGCCACAATAAGAGATGCAGTATCTCATATTGCTGCCACAGACCTATGGAAGCAGTGTTCTAGGCATATTATTGAAAAAGAAAATGAATATTGTGTTTTGCCTCCTGTAAATCCCGTTGTAATTCCTCTACAAGATGACTCTAGCGACAGCTCCGAAGGCGAGGATGATATATAAATACCTATAATGTAAGTCTTTATATACCTTTTTATATACCTACCTGCTATGTAAATATTTGCCTATGTCAAACGTTGGAATTCTGTAATTTTTCCATTTTTTAACTTTCAGTCAACATAAATTAAACTCCCAATATAAGTATTTTTTATCCCAAATCAAAAAAATAAGAAGATAGTAAAATCCATTTATTGTGATATAAAAACATTATTATTATCATTCTAAATAAATGACCGCACGCCTATGATACGTCATGAAATTACAAAGGACGCGCCGACCAAAGGTTTTTATGCTATTTCAAGTGACTTCAGATAAAGTATACATACGTACATCACAAGTGGGACCAGTTACATACTATGTAAAAAAGTAGTAGAAACAGTTTTGTAGGGAATTAAATTCTTCATCATTTTGCTACTATGACAATTCGTAGTATGGTCAACAGATTACGAGAAATTAAGATTCTCAACATTTTCAAAATTTCTGGAATTCTAAAAATTTTTAGTTTTCACAATTTTCCAAATCTTATAATTATCGAGATTTTCAATAATTTTGGAAATATAATTTTTTTTTAATCCAATATTTTCGAAATTTACCACATTTTAAAAATTCTAAAAATTCAGTTTTTATAATTTTGGAATTTTTTAAAATTTTCAAAATCTTTGAAATTTACAAAATATTAAAAACATTTAATATTTTCAAAACCAGGGTTTTCAAAAATTTTCAATTTACAATTTACCAAAATATTGTTTTCAAAATTTCCATGATTTTCAAAGTCTTAATAATTTACAAGAATTTCAAAATTCTTAGAACTACTATAGTTTCCATAGTTATAACCAAATGGTTCTACAGAAATGTCGCCAGTCATTTTGTTTCTATGAAAATTTGTCGTATATATCAAATTACGAAAAATTAAAGGGTAATTATACATGTAATTTTTGCTGATAATAGCTAAACGACAAATCTACTAATACGAGGGTTGGTTAAAAAATAAGATTCCCAAATTTTTTCCAGGCACAAGGATTTTTTTACACGGTTCATTTAATTAATTTAAACGGTTGCATTTTGTTTTTTAAACACGCTTGGCCTGTGTGTTTATATGTATACTAAGTGACATATAAATCCGAACACCCAGTTTAAATGGTTTTATTTTAATATAATTTTGTATAAGTACTTAATGAAGCATAATAGGTAAATGATAAAAATTTCAAAATGATTGCACTGCTTTAAAGCCCTTTGACCTTTAATAATGTCTGGATGCACCCTGATGTGCTACGCATTCTCCAAAGCGCCTAGACATGCTTCTGATCAGGTGGTTAATGTCCTCCTGTGGTATCTCATTCCAGGCAACCACCAACTCCTCTCGAAGTGCTTCTAGAGTCTGAAGAGGACGTTGCAAATTGAGCAATCTCCTACCCATCATATCCCACACGTGCTCAATTGGGGATAAGTGGGGAGATCTTGGTTCCATGGTAACAATGTGACATCATTATGTTGAAAGAAGTCTATTGTGACTCTTGCAACATGTGGTCGGGCATTATCTTGTTGGAAAGTTGGACCTGCCAGGGTGTCAAGATAGGGTAAAAGATGGAGTTCTAGAACTTCGTGGATATAACGCTGCGCGTTCATGTTACCTCTGATGAAGATTAAAGGTGACCTGGAACCACAAGCTATAGCACCCCAAACCATAACTCCAACAGTGTGATGAACATGTCTTTAAATAAAAAACTGTGGATTCCTCCTTTCACCACGTCGCCTTCTAACCCTGGCACGACCATCGTGCATGCCTAAACAAAATCGAGACTCGTCACTAAAGACAATACTGTTCCATTCCTGATCCCAGAGTGACCGTTGTCTGCACCACTCAAGGCGATTACGTCGGTGTTCTCGAGTTAAAGGGAGGACCCAGTGTGGCCGGTATGAAAACAAGCCAAAACTTCTCAGTCGTCGGTAAACACTTCGCATGCCAATAGGTCTTCCGTGTTCTGCAAACCACTCATTTGCAATGGACCTGGTAGTGGAGAAACGGTCCCTTAAGGCCAATAATCTTAGGCGGCGATCTTCACGGTCCGTTGTTCTACGGCGGCGTCCAGTGCCCCTTGCTCTTTGCGTACGGCCTTCTCGAAGCCATGCCTGACAACACCTAACCACAGTGTCTACACTTCTTTGCACTCTAACTGCAATTGCCCGAAAAGAAAGTCCAGCTTCCCGAAGTCCCACTATACGGCCCCCATCAAACTCACTAAGTTGACGAAATCGTACAGGTCTCCGTACTCTAGGCATCGTAACCGATCGTAAAGGATGTCAAGAACCAAAATCCGCCAACGTTGATTCTTTACTGCGGCTGAAATATTCATGTTTAGAGCGTTAGTGAATTAAAAAAAAAGCAGTATAAAAACCGGAATGTCCAACTGACAAGGCTGAAAATTTTTTCACTTGTTATTTACAGTAAGATAAATACATTCACCAACATTTATTAAAATAAAACCATTTAAACTGGGTGTTCGGATTTATATGTCACTTAGTATATGTATGTATGTATGTAGCGGAATCTTTGAGCATAATGTTCACCAGTTTCGAGAAGTTTTATTAAAATGAAACTTCGCGCACGTATCAAGAACGAAATGACAATTTGATTTCATTATCCTTATTAGGGCCGCCAGGATTAATAAATTCCTATATAGATCTTCTGTAGGGCAGTAACAGAGATAGAGCTAGCGCGCGAACTGCGCATGCGTGCAGTTTCGGACTTTCTTGTTCATGCACAGAGAAGATTGAGCATTATGAAGAGAATCGCTATTCTAGTGATCGATTCAAGTTTAAACCAATCGATGTTCCAGTCTCTGAAATCGAATGCCTTAGGAAGCGATGGCGTGTCACTCAGAATGCTAAAACTATGGTTCTTTGCGATTTCAGGTCACATTTTACACATCATAAATACCTGTTTAGAAAGGGGATTCGTTCCAGAATCATGGAAAGAAGCATTAGTGTTACCTCTAGCTAAAATAAGTAAGCGAAAATTATATTCTATAATTATTCTTTTACCTGGTTTGTCCAAATTATTAGAAAAAGCAATGTACGCCCAAATACGATTATCTCTCTAAACATAAAATTTTGCCTCCCAAACAATGCGGTTATCGAAAAGGATATAACACTGCAGGTGCCCTATTAGACTTAAGGGCTGCGCCTGCAAATATTTTTGAAATTGAAAGCAGAATAAGGTTAAACGTCAATTAGTTGACAGTTAATTTTGTTGTCTCTTGAAACCTGAAACGTTTTTTTTGCAATTGTGAATGCACGAAATTTAGTTTCTTTTACCTGTTTT